CAGAATGAAGTGGATAGCAATAATTCCAAGTATCAACGGGCTGGTTCACTGATTCTCCTACACTTCTGCCGGAATGAATGAATGACCATGGGTAAGAGAGATCAGTGGATAAAAGGTGACAGCCCCCAAGTTGGATAACCTGGGGTGTGGTAGTTTGAATGAAAATGGCACCCCTAGGCTCATAGGGAGTGAAACTATTAGGAGGTGTGGTCATGCTGGAGTAGGGATGGCCTTGTTGGAGGAACAGTGTCACTGAGGCCAGGCTTTGAGGTCTCATAAGCTCAAGCCAGGCCTAGTGGCTCACTGTCTCTTCCTGCTGCCTGCTGATCCAGATAAACTCTCAGTGCCTTTCTTCAGCTCCATGTCTGCCTGCACACTGCCATGCTTCCTACCATGATGACAGTGGACTAAACCTCTGAAACTGTAACCCAACCTCAATTAAATGTTTGCCTTTATAAGAGTTGCTGAAGTCATGGCGTTCCTTCACAGCAATGGAAACCATAACTAAGGCATGGAGTCAATCCCAGGACCCACAACTGTGGAAGGAGAGAACTGACTTCTACAGATTGTCCTCTGACCTCCACAGGGGCACACATATCCACAATAAATAGTAATAGAAATAATAACCTCCCACCCTCAGTGTAATGGTTGGTGTTGTCAACTTGTCAGGATGTAGAATCAGTTGTGAGATGGGCCACCCATCTGGGGGTGGGGGGAGATTGTCTTGATTATGTTAGATGTGGGAAGACCCATCTTAACTGTGGGTGGGACCAGTCTCAGTTCAGGCCATCTTGGACTGTATAAAAAGGAGAAAGTGAACTGAGGAACAGAATGCAGCCATCACTCTCTGCATCCAAATTTGTGGATGTGAAATGACCAGCTGCCTCAGGCTCCTGCTGCTTGAACTCTCCACCCTCTTTTCCCATGATAGCTTGAATTTCAATATAAAATAAACTCTTTCTCTCTTAAGTTGTTTTGGTCAGACTATTTTATCGCAGCAACAGGAGGGGGAACTAAGATGGAAACGCTTAGGTTAGCTCACAGCCAGTCAGCACCAGACATAAGAGCAGGCCTGGTCAATCAACATAAGCAGTATCACCTAACCCATCGTTAGCTTATCCTAGAGTCATGAACAAGAAGCATTTGTGTGTCTTTGAAAAGATTTGTTGTTGTTTTGAGACAGGGTCTCTCTATGTAGCTCTGGCTCGCCTCAGAGATCCACCTGCCTCTTGAGTGCTGAAATTAAAGGTGCACAGTACCATGCCCAGTGAGGAAGAGCTATGGTTTAAAGTTTCTGTTTTGTTTTGTTTTTATGTGTATGTGTGTCTGAGTTTATTCATATGCACCACATGTACAGGAGCCTGTGGAGACCATAAGAGGATGTTGAATTCCCTAGAACTGGATTTAGGAGTTGTGAGTCACCCTATGCCTTATTATTATAACTATAGTTAACTACTACATGAAATGTGAATGGTATATGAGGTGTACCATAAGTTCATGAATATATGAGGTTGGCATGTGGGGGGGGTAAATCTAGATGTAGAAGTCTCTGCTCGACTAAGGGTGCAACATTGCCCTCTCTGTAGTAAAAGTGACTTTAATGTGACCAGCCATCATGCCACCAGATGTCTGACTGGAGCTAGGTAGAGTACCAGTCTTGGCTTCTTTCTTGCCTTCCAGGGGAGGAAACTGGTTTGCTTGCCATTGCTGATAACAGATTGTAATTGTTCTCTGCTTTACAACATCCCCACACTTGGATTAGTATTGGTTTTTCATTCAACATTCAGTAATTCTGGGAAAGTTTGTTTCTCTTGGCCAGAGTGACCAGAATTTAGAGATATTTACACTCTTCTATCTTTATTTACACTCTTCTATCTTAAGAGCAAAGCCTAATCATGGGCTGTGGAGGGTAAGCAGAAAACATGAAGTGATTTGGCCATCACCTTTGAGTTATGGAATCAGAGATGCAGCACCATGGATTTCATGTGGTGTTTCCACTGTGGTCACCAACAGGGATCCAGTTAGCTACCAGGCTTAAAATGTCTGGTCATGCTTAGGTTTCAAACTCGGGGGCCAATGGTTGAGGTGTCTATTTAACATATCAAAGTGGATGCTGGCCACCACATTCTCCCAGCATCCCTCAGTCCCTACCTATTACAGGGCCCTCCCAGCTGGCATGCCTTGCCCTCTACCCTAAACTTCTCCAGCCCAGGGGCTGATCTTCCCTTCATCAGAGTTTCCCTTTTTTTATATAATCCAACCATTTTGGTTACCTTGTCCTTTTTGTATACTCTCTTTGGTCCTCCTCACTTCCCTCTCTCTTCCCCTCCCCTTCTCCTCACATGGCTCAGGGTCATGTCTACTCTGGACTCTTCCAGATGTCCCTGCCTCTGGCTATGCTTGCCCAAATATCTATAATAATCTTTCTCCTCTGCTATGCCTAGAAGCAGTCTTGTCCTTCCCCTTTATGCTGCTTTTTTTTTCCTATTCAGTTATGAAGCTACAATCATGGTTAATAATCATCTCTTAAAGGGCTGTGGGGGATGGACCAGTTGGCATAGTACTTGCCATTCAAACATGAGGCACTGTTTTTTTTTTATCTTTTTTAACTAATCACAATAATTTATTTTTATTTTTATGTACATTTTGTGTTTTGTCTATATGACTATCTGTGTGAGAGACTCAGATCCACTGGAACTTGAGTTATAGACAGTTGTGAGCTGCCATGTGTATGCTGGGAATTGAACAAATATCCTCTGGAAGAGCAGCCAGTGTTCTTAACTGCTGAGCCATCTCTCCAGCCCCCCAGGCACTGGGTTTAATACCCAGAACTCATCCAAAAGCCCAGCTATACCACTGCTAGGTATATACCCAAAGTTTGCTCAAGTACACAAAAGGGATATTTGCTCAACCATGTTTATAGCAGCTTTATTTGCAATAGCCAGAACCTGGAAACAACCCAGATGTCCATCAACGGAGGAATGGGTACAGAAATTGTGGTATTTTTACACAATGGAATACTACTCAGCAATCAAAAAGGAGGAAATCATGATATTTGTAGGCAAATGGTGGGATCTAGAAAAGATCATCCTGAGTGAAATATCCCAAAAGGAGAAAGACAAACACGGTATATACTCACTTATATAGACCTATAAGATGTGATAAACATAATGAAATCTATACACCTAAAAAAGATAATCAAGAGAGCGGACATGGGGTAAGATGATCAATCCTCGTTTAGAAAGACAGATGGGATGTGCATTGAACGTATGACAGGAGTCTACTGAGCACATTTGAAAGACTCTAACTAGCAGTGTTTTCAAAGCAAAGACTCATGACCAAACCTTTGGCAGAGTACAGGGAATCATAAGAAAGAAGGGGAGTTAGTCTGATGGGGAAAGGATAGGAGCTCCACAAGGACCAAATATATCTGGGCACAGGGTCTTTTCTGAGACTGACATTCAACCAAGGACCATGTATGGATATAACCTAGAACCTCTGCTCGGATGTAACCTGTGGTAGCTCAGTAACCAATTGGTTTCCCATAGTGAGGGGAACAAGGACTATTTCTAACAGGAACTCAATGACTGGCTCTTTGACCTCCCCACCCCCCAAGGGAGGAGCAGTCCTGTTAGGCCACAGAGGAGAGCTTTGCAGCCAGTCCTGAAGATACCTGATAAAACAGGATCAGATGAATGGGGAGGAGGTCCCCTCTATCAGTGGACTTGGAAAGGGGCACGGTGGAGATGAGGGAGGGAGGGACTGGGAGGGAATGAGGGATCGGAACACGGCTGGGATACAGAGTTAATAAAATGTAACTGATAAGAAAAAAATAAAATTCAAAAAAAAAAATAAATAAAAGCCCAGGTGTGTTGGCACACACTTGCAATCCAAAAAGCTGGCTGTTGTTGGTTGGGGGAGCAAAAAGAATCCTGAGGACCACTGCCAGCCTGCCTGGCTAACTCAGGGAGGTCCAGACAAATGAGAGACCCTTTTTAAAAAACAAAACAAAACAAAAGAAAACATTTGTGCCGGAGGAATGACATACCCAATGTTAAGGTTTGACATCCATGTGTGCCCCCATACACACACACACACACACACACACACACACACACACACACACACAACCTCCCAGATATTAATTAGAATAACCATCTGAACTGTTATGTTCCTGATGGTGAATCAAGGATAAAGTATAATGAATTTAAATAAACATTTTTTAATCTTCTGCAAAAGTTAGGAATAAACGCCTCCTTGTGATGTTAAACCCTAATATTACTATTCTTATGTTAAGGATTCATTAACCCTTATTATATAGAACTTCATATTTCCAATTAAAAATACCCCAGCATCTAACCAAAATTTATTAGTGATTATAATAAAATCTAAAACCATTACTGAGTGGTTATGATTTAATATTGTATATGATTAGGTCTTAGAGGTGCAGTTAAAGACACAGACTCAAGTAGAATCCACAGACCCCTGAAAAGTAATTGTTGAAATATACAATCCTTAAAAATATATCTAAGACAAAGTGAAGAGATGGCTTCATGGGCAAAGCACTTATAACAAAATCATTAAAATTTATATCTCCAAAACCTGCATAAAGCCCACAGCTGTTGCATGCATCTGCAATCTCAGAACTCTTACAGCAATCTTGGAACCTGGGACAAGAGAATCTCTAGAACCTTTCAGCCATCCATTCTGGGGTGCATAGTGGTGAACAAAAAGAGACCTTTGTCAAACAGAAGGTCGGGGCTGACACCTGAGGCTGTTGTTTGACCTTTAATCCCACACTGGGACACGAGCGTGTCAGCTGATGCTCACACACAGATACCCATCCACATGTGTACACTCTTTTTTAATTTTAAGAGTAGATCTGTAACTCACACTTTGTGGGCCAAGAGGCCATTTTGAAGTTAGAACTTTACTAACAGCAACAAGTCCCTACAAAGTCACCAACAACAAACACACAAAAGATGAGACTGAAAAGTATCTGATTTTTAACTTTATTTTTTATTGTTGACACTATTACAAGATAGAACAACTACAACCATATTAACAAACCAAAAGCCTGTGCACAGAAACAAGACAAAGAAAATATAGGTGTTAACACAGTCTTTGGGTGATGAAAATATGGGTGAGTTTCTCTCTACGTTTCCACATCTTCAAGGTTACTAGAATGGGCACATACTGCATATATAATGGAAATATAAGCAAAAGGGCAGCCTACTAGAACGCTATGATTAAAGACCCTCAAAGAAACTGAGAAAACACACTTCACTGGAATCTCACCACAGCTACCCCACGATTCCATTCCACACTTCTCCACACTTCTTCCTGCTGTTGACACTATCATGGACACCCTAATAATCACACATGTGGTGCACAGATCCAGGTGTTACCACGAGTTTGTTGGAAATACAATTTTTTTCTACTTCACCACAGTTTCCCAGTTTTCTTTGAGTATATCTTATATTTGTGATGCAGAGTACATTACTTAAAGTTTGTTACCCAAACACCAGAAGATTATTCAAGAAATTTGGAACAAAATATTTAATCATGACCCCCCCCAAACACTATTTTTAATTGTTTCCCACATTTCTTTTTTGCTTTAGACTATTTAACACTGTTTCAATCACAAGTTTGTGCGATGACACAAGATGGAGGGCACAGATGAAGATTTAACAGTTGTTGAATGTGGGGAATGTGGGCAGATTTTTCTTTTCAATTTTACTGTATTTTCCAATTTTCACTGGGTACATAGATAGTATGCTTATAATGGTGACATAACATACCAAACTTTATTATCAGGTGACTATTACAAGGAGCTTAGGGAAAACTTCAGATCAAAGTATTTTACTGTAATTTTACAGGAATACTAGAACAACTATCTTGAATACACGTTTTGACACAGTTATAATATATAAACCTGTGCACAGCAACAAGAATAAACAAGATATTAAAGAGTATATCTATCTTTGGATGGTGGGGACATGGATTATCTTTCCTCCACTTTTCTGTTATTTTCCAAGTTCTTCATAATGAATTCAATTATGTTCATGATGGAAATATGATCCTTAACTTTTGAGTAAACTACTATAAAGAATATTCTAAAAATTTAAGAAAATAATGCTCAACTATAACTACGACAACACAATAGCTTTTGATTATAAGCATACATTTTAAAACAGTTGTAATTGTAGTATAAATATAATTTTGTGTCCTGCTTCCTCCACTTCATATTCTGTGAATATCTGCTTCACAACACTTTGTGAGTATCACCTCTACACAACTGCATAGGCATCCGGGGGCACCCTGACTTAGTTGTCTATACTCTGGCATGTCAACTGATCCTAATCTTCTCCTCACTCTGTGATGGTTAGAATGGACACTGAATTTTTGACAAGTTCCTTTCTGTAAAGGGTCTCATAGGGTATACTGTCAATCCCCAATTTTAGCCAGATGACTATGACACTGACTTCCATTTCAAGGGTGCTTCCCCCAATGCATTATTGCCCCCCCCATTTCCTTGGTGTCAGTTCCAACCTGGGGCCTCTCTATGCAGCTGACCTTCACTTACACCATGCCATCAGAAAGGCCTTTCTTCCAACTACACAGGACACTCATAAAATTTGTTTTTACCACCCTGACCTTCCAATTCCTGCTGCTGGTGTTTTATAGTCTGTCTTATTTCCTTCCTAGATCTGCTGTCATCTTGGAACTCCCTGCTTTGGCTCACGCATTTCTGTTTCTTACTCTTAGCTCTCCAACCTCCGAAGACTTTGGCATTCAGCAAGGCTTTGACACACTCCCCCATGAGCTCCAGACTACAGATCTAGAAAATTAAGAGTCAGAGTCAGCAGGTATCTCTCTTCGCTTTAGAAGATGATCTGTACGTATCTTTTGATCTTTCAGCTACAGATCTGCTTATTTTTTTTTATTTTTTAAATTTTTAAATTTTTTTTTCCCCAGCCAACTGAAGGCCAAAAAATTGTCTTTATATAGCCATTATGCGAGGGAAGGGGAAGAAAAGGAGCGCAGGCAGTCCATATATAGGACGCAGGAAATCTCAAGCTGGGAAGTCATTTTGTGATCAAGAGGACAATTGATGACATCAAGACAGACAGGACATTAAATGGAAAGCTCAGAAACACTTAGGAGGGCTCAATGAGAAAGAACAATGGTAACAAAAAACAAATTAAGGCTGCTGGGGAACCTGAGTCCATGTTAAGCTAGGATTAACTATAAAGAAAGCTTTTTTTTTTTTAATGTGTGTTTTTGCTTTTTTTTTTTTTTAATGCAAATTAGACTTGGGGTTGACAGACACATAAAGAACAGAGGAGTTAAGTTTGGAGATACAGAGATCTAAGGATAATAGCTCCTGGGCACCCAGGGAGCACAGTGACTTGTGGCAAGCACAGACAATACCACACAGGTGACAGACACTGCCACTTGTCACTTAAGGCAGGAAGCACACAGCAGAGTTAATGAAAGGGTGTCAGTCTGCTTCCTTATTTACAATGTAAGAGCCTCTCCTGTGGTTCCCAACCTTCATTAGGCACTACTGTGATCTAGTGATGGTCGCCACCCACTCTTTAAAGGCAAAGACACTAAGATTTACAGGGGAAAGCTTCAGGTTTCATGAATTCACTATTGAATACACAAATTGGCTAGAAAACAAAAACCGAAACTTTAAAAAAACACCTCAAATGTAACATTTTTTTTTTGCATGAAAACCACTATAAGGTACATAAAATATGGGGATGGGTTGATTTGGGTCACAAAGACAAATCCATATATTATAAAGGTTTATACAGTCAGTCTCAAGGGGGTTGGGTGCACATCAAATGGCTATGGAAGCTAAAATGATGTCTGTTTTCACACAGCCAGGATTCAAAGATCTTTCACACTCACACCTTCACAGGACTATCTAAGAGGTAGGGGACAAAACATTCCATTACTGGAAAGGGTACTAATGGCGATCAAGGGATGCACAGTAAAGCTTCCGCAGGATGGACAACACTTACAAATATATGCTAAATTGTTGCTCTCTTCCTCCTCAGGAAAAAAAAATCAGAGCACCAGGCTAGGTAGCTCTGTGAGTAAACTTTAAATTCTATAGCACACTAAATCCAAATATAAGTATCACTGATTCACTGTGATTTGCTCATTTATATACACGGCAGGAATCTTATGTATAGGGTATGAAAGGGGATCATGTACAGTCGATTGGGGCAACCTCTGTGGTCTTGAATAGTCACCAGGTTTTCCCTCAATCTAGCTACTCGGATGAAAGGGAAGGTGTGAACTCTAGCTTTCCCAAGTGTATACTGATGCTCAGTAGAGAAGAGCTAAGACTGAAAGAATCTCTGTATTCAATCTCTTTGTCCCTTTTCATTCACAGTTATCCGATGTGAAGTCCAGGATGTATATAGAAAGTTGAATTTCTTATTGACATTATGGGTTGGTGTAGGCTCTCTCTTTGATTTAAGGGTCTGGTTCTGGGAGTAAGATTTGGTTTCTTTCTGTTTTTCTTCAGCCAGTGTGAGAATTCTGATGTCTGGCAAGGGAGAGGCGGTCGTTGAAGAGCTGCCCACACACATCACATTTGAAGTACTTGTCATCAGCCTGTTCGGCACCACCTGCACTGGTGCTGGCCTGTTCGATGTAGCCAGAGCACTCTCCGGGAGCATTGGCAGGCTCAAAGATGATCACACTGGCGTGGCTCTTCAGGTGCTCTCCAAACGCTGCGCTGGAAGTGAAGGTTTCTGCGCACTCGTGGCAGTTGTAGTACGGTTCTTCAACCTCAATCTCTTGATCTTCTCCTTCCTCTTCTGGGTCTTCGATGTCTGCACCATCGGGCTCATCTGCATCTCCCTCTGGCTCTTCAACCTCTTCTTCCTCTGGCTCATCGGCTCTCTCTTCTGGGTCTTCGATCCCGGCTCCATCAGGCTCATCAGCATCACCGTTTGGCTGTTCAGCTTCTCCATTGGGCTGCTCAGCCTCTCCATCTGGCTCAGCAGCTTCTCCATCTGGCCCTTCAGCTTCTCCATTAGGCTCCGCAGCCTCCACCTCTGGCTCTGCAGCCTCCACTTCAGGCTCGGCGGCCTCTACTTCAGGCTCAGCAGCTTCTGCATTTGACCCCTGGATTCGCAGTACTTCTTGTGGAATGAGGACATTGGCTTCGACCTCTTGGGCAGTGGCAGCTACTATTTCAGACCCTCCTTCTCGCTCAGGATGAAACACCATACGCTCAGTGATGACGGTGTCATCTAGGAAGGGCTGCCCGCAATCTTTGCATTCGTACAGTGGGATGTGTTTCCTGAGGGGCTCAGTGAGGAAGGAGGCATGGGTGTAGGATGGCCCATACTCATAGGGCTCATCCTTGTGAACTTTGGTGTGGTGGTCTCCCAGCTGTTTGGCAGTGAAGAAGCATTCCCCACAGATTGTGCACTCAAAAAGCTTCTCTTCGGTTTCACTTCCCTGATACTCAGTGAGGGCTAGGCCTTGAATGAAAATCTCTTCTGCCAACTCACTCTGCTCCAGTATTTCATCATCCCTGTGTTGTCTCATGTGCTCATTTAGGGCAGAACTGTGAATGAAGCCTTGTCCACACTGACGGCATCGAATGGCTGAGCCAGCGACAGCAGGATCCCTTTCTGCAGCACAATTTCTCCGGGGCCTCACAGGCAAGAGAGTGATGAAGCCATCATCACAGGCCTTTACAGCATACAGCTGGTCTTGTTCGTGGACTCTCTGGTGCTCAAAAAGCAATGAGCTGTGAATAAAAGATTCCCCACATTTTGGACATTCATACAGCTTCTCTCCAGAGTATTTTTTCTCAAATTCACTGACGGAGTGGACATGAACTTCAGAATGTGCGTATTCGCGACTGTCAACCAGAGACTTTCTGCTGTGGACATCCTGGTGGCTTGTGAGGTCTGTGAGATCAGCAAAGCCCAGCCCACAGTGCTGGCATTCATATATAGTGTCACTAGCATCATCTTTCTGATGCTCATCGGAACCTGACGCCTGAATGGTAGTATCTTCAGCTTTCTCCTGGCCAGGGGGCTCATCACCATGAGACTCTTCACCTTGGGGCTCTTCGCTGTGCATTTCCTGATCAAGAGGGTCCTTGTCATGGGGCTCATCACCATGAGGCTCCTGACCATGAGGCTCATCACCACGGGGCTCTTCACTGTGCATCTCCTGATCAACAGGTTCCTTGTCCTGGGGCTCATCACCATGAGGCTCCTTACCATATGGCTCTTTGTCATGAATCTTTTGACCATGAGTTTCTTTATCATGGGGCTCCTCGGCATAAAACTTCTCTTGGGCATAGATTTTCTGGACACTGAGGTTGTTGCTGGTCGCAGAGCGTTGTCCAAATGCTCTGAATTTGCGTACTTGTTCTTGAACAAAACGTTCTTGGGCATAACTGGTCTGAGGGTCACTAGGGGCAAAGCTGCGGATGACAGATTGCTCATAATGTCGGCTTCCAGAAGGCCTTTCTCTGTCGTGAATCTTCTGGTGCTCAATGAGGTCAGATCTATGAGCAAAGATCTCCCCACATTCCTGGCACTCAAAGAACTTTGCTCTACGGCGGCGAATTGCTTGCAGGTCACCAAAAGGTAGGGAGTGGATAACAGAAGCTTCATTGCTCTTGGACTCAATGTATTTCTTTTTGGCACGAGCTTTCTGGTGTTCACGAACACTTGAGCTGGGAACTGAAAATGTGACATCTTGATTAGGATCACGAGACTCTCCAGAAAGACTTGCAGGCTCAGCACTCAATAGACTTGGTGTGATGAAATCCTTGTGGTTGTTGCTGCTGTTTCCTTCATAAGTGTCTTCTCTGGTAGGAATCTTCCTTCGCTTATTGTTAAGATCTGAGATGTAAATGGAGGATTCTCCTTCCTCATCATACTGGTCATTTGCTCTGTGACGTTTCAGAGGTCGAGGAGCAGGCAAGCTGTGGATGTTGGATCCCTTGTATTCCTTTCCTTCATAGCTATTCCCTCCAGAGTGGACTTTGGGGTGGCCAATACTGCCTGAGCTCTGGGTGCTAGACTCGGCCACTGGTTTTGGTTTAGTGAACCCCAGTACACCATGACTCTTCTGAGCTTCTGCAGGGCCCAAGATGTGAATAACAGAGCTCTCACAGGATTTCTCCTGGCAGCCACTTTCCACTGTGGGAAATTTCAGCTTGTCATTAGGATTGGTGCTAATGGTGAACGGCTTGTCATCTTCTTTGTTTTCAGGTGGTCTTGTTATAGTATGACTCTTCTGAGATTCGGCAAAGGGTTTTTCATATCCTCTGCCATCAAAGAAATGCTTCCAAGAACGATTTTTCTGATGCTCACCGGGGTCTGAGCTTTCCATCAAAGCATCTCTGGCATTGTTGAAGTCGAACAGCTTCTCCCGGTAAGTTTTCTGTCGCCTTTTGAGGGCCTGGCTAGGGACAAAGGTCTCCTCGCACATCCTGCTCTTGTTTTCAAATGGATTTCCTCTAGTGTGGATTTTCTGATGTTCCCTCAGGGATGAGAGATGAAGGAAGCTCTCTCCGCATACCTTACACTCATAGATTTTATCTCTCCTATACATCTTCCGAAACTCATTGAAGTTTGGGCAGGTCAGAAAGGGTTCTCCAAGCTCACGCTCGCGTTCACGCTCCCGCTGCTCCCATGCACGTGCACGCATGCGCTCGCGCTCATCTCTGTCATCTCCGGGGTTGCCTCTACCATGGGTTTTTTGGTGCTCGATTAGGGCAGAACTGTGCAGAAAGGTCTCCTTGCATACCTTGCACTCATAGAACTTGTCTTTGCCGTACATCTTCTGCAGCTCACTAAAGGTAGGACTGGGCATGACGGTCTCCTCGTCCTCCTGATCTTTACATTCTGCAAGATACTCTCTAGCATGGATTTGGCGATGCTCAGCCAGGGCGGCGCTCCTACTGAAGGTTTCTCCACATTCCTTACACTCAAAGCGTTTTCCCCCACCCTGACCTTTGTGCACCTCATTGACAGCCACGCTGTGAATAAAGGACTCTCCATACTCATAGAGGTTCTCCCTAGTGTGCATAATCTGGTGCTCCACAAACTCAGAGATGACACTGAACGACCTCCCGCACTCATCACACACATACGGATCTGCCGCAAAATCGATTGACTGTGACTCAGAGAAGGGAGGGCAGCTCAGGTTGCCCATGCTCATCGCCTGTCTCATCTCACTACCACACTCAAAAGGCTTCTTCCTCACACAGCTCTTATGCTCATGACCTGAACCCTTCTCATCAGAATCAAAATGGTAACGCCTCTTCCTTTCTAGACCTCTGCTTCTGGAAACCAAGTCTGCATTGAACCTGAAGCCTCCCCTGAACATGCTCCCTTCATAACCCCTCTCCTGGATCACTGACTCTCTTTTGTTTGATGAACCATCCTTCCAGTTGTCACTGGGCCTGGGGAACCTCGGAGGAGGACGCTCAGTCAGTTCCCTCCCTCTTCCGGATTTGGAGTTTCGAGACACGTCCTTGATGAATTTTTCCATTATCACTCCATGAGAAGATTCATCTTCACAGATTCCACGGCGGTGAGCTGGCTTTTTTGCTTCAGGCATGGGTTTCAGACCTGGAAAGAAACCCCCATATGTAATTCTTCCCTAGCCTCTCAGTGCTGTGGTGTTTGAAAGTGTGAAATGTTGAAGTTTCTCCATGTGAGATCACTTGTCACTCACCTCGACTTGTGCTTGGGTAGGCACTTCTCTTGGACCTTGATGAGTGGCCTTGTGTCATGTGAGAGTGTCGGTCATCTTCAGCAAGCTGTACTCCTGGTTACAAACACAAAATGGCATTCAAATTTAACCTGAAGACTGAGGCCCATCACCATAAATTGATCCCCCCCCCCCGCCACAGTTAAGTATCGACTGTCTCATATTCAAATACTTTTTTAAATTTTTTATTAATTACACTTTATTCATTTTGTATCCCCCCATAAGCCCCTCCCTCCTCCCCTCCCGATCCCACCCTCCCTCCCCTTTCTGCATGCATGCCACTCCCCAAGTCTACTGATAGGGGAGGTCCTCCCCTCCTTTCTGATCTTAGTCTATCAGTTCTCATCAAAATTGGCTGCATTGTCCTCTACCATGGCCTGGTAAGGCTGCTCCCCCCTCAAGGGGAGGATGTCTTTTGTTTCCTTCCTATTCATTTTCTGACCTGGTGAAAGCGACATTTTGACTCCCTTAGTGTAAGCACACTTAGAAAATGGTATGAAGACTCCATATATGCATGAATTCAGAGTACCTTCTTTTAGTTTTTACCTCCTGATCACTTCTTTGAGAGACTCCATTCTTTCTCAGAAAGGCTCACTATGTAGGTGGCCCCAACTGCCTCAACTGGTGATCCTCCTGTTTCAGCATACAGTGCTGAAGTTTTGGGGCATGTGCCATTATGCTCCTCTCCCTGCTTCTCAGTAGTCTCAGTAGTCTTTCTCTACATACTGTCTAGCACCATAGACCCCTTGGTTTTATGTGCTTTTGCAGCAACTGCCTACTCTCACTGCATGATTCTGGAGGGATCCACATGTAGATGTGAGATCATATAGAAAAACTGTGACAAAAGCCATCTTCCTGCTCAGCCCTAGTTCATAAAATATATTCTTCAATCAAAAGTAGACAGATTCATTTCTCAACAGAGGAGCAAGTTCACCAAAGCCTTCTTGTTATCCTAGAGGCCCAAATATGCTAGCGTGGACTCAAAGATCTTGAGAGAAGCACAGTAACAAAAGGCTCTGCTAATGGGATTGAAAGTGGCCAGGGAGTTAGGTACCCACCCAGTGAGAGCAGCTTTCTGTAGTTCTCCAGATTGTCCTGAATTGGATTCTGAGGCTTCCTGTCCTCTTTGAGTTCCACAACATTCTGGTATGACTCAGCATCCTAAAACATCAAACACAGGCCTCTCAATGGAATCTGTCCCCATGGATATTCAAAGAGAGAATTATGTTGGCGGCATGGGAGCTACGATTATGAAGTTATATAGGAAGTGCTCACGGTATTTGGGGTTCTGAGCGATCCAAGGCAAGTGTTACTAGGGGCCTACATCGTACCTACCTTGTGCTACACTCTGAGGCAGATCCCAAAGACGCATGACACATATTCCTTGCCCTCATGCAGCTTATAATTTGGTTGGAGAGAAAAGACTCATGAAACAATTAGAGAACAGTAAACAGTAAATTGGGATACAGATAATAAATGCTACATGGGTTTCTTGGAGGGACAGTTCAGGGTGGTCCTGAACAGTGAGCAAAGGTTTTACAGAGGGCCTCCCATGGTGCCTGAAGTGGTAGGTGAAGCTACAGTTATGTATGGAGCAGGCTGGTGGGAAAGCCCATGCAGGCTAAATAATCAGCATGCATAGTATACTCATGGGAACAGAAAGAAAATGTTCTCTACAAACATCTGGTCAGACTACATGGTTTTAAGCTCCCTTCCTGTCTCTCTATTGCATAGCATGGCTACAGTGTAGAGTTTCCATTGTGTATGGTTTCCAAATAAGTCAACACATCCGAAACTCTCAACTTAGAGCTACCTTTTGCCTTGATATTTTTTTCAAAAAGAAATAAAAAAATCCCCTGTAATACTCAGGACTGTCTTCTTTGCAGGAGCTTAAAGGGCCTTTGTTTGTTACCAGAAGACAGTACTAGAGTTTCACCGTCTTGGTGAACTGCAATACCCAAGGTGAGGGTACTGAAGCCTGAAGGGAACTGAGTATGGAGAAGGTGCTGTGAGAGTTTATAGGCTTTGGAGCTGGAGAGAACTTTAGGGTCCGAAGCAGACCACAGCATTCATGAGCTGTGTGACAGATATGGAAATCTTTCAGAGCCTCGGATTCTTCATTGTAAAATGGTGAGAACTCACAATATTGCAACACTGCGGGTTAAGATTCCGCAGTGTGATTATTGTTTAAATAGAAAGAAAAATAGTGCAAAGGAAGCATTCATGTTTTGATATTAAATTTATTATTGTTCTGTTACTGAAAGGAGGCTTGAATTTAAATAGAAACATGGGAAGCAGCCAAAAATATTTAAAGAACAAGCATCAGGGTTGAAGAAGAAAAGCTTCATCTATGCAACTGCCCATAGCTAGTCATTAAACAGCAAACAATGAGAAGCAAGCAACAATAAAAATTAGAGCAAAGAAAAGAAGCAGAGCTTCAGGAAGGAAAATCTTTCTCACTTAGGGCTGAAAATTAGGACAAAAGATGAACTCTAAAAAAAGGCAGGAAGCATTGCAACCTTTGTAGAGCTAACACCCAAGAATGCTAAATGCATCCTTTTTGTTGGTTGTCCCTCCTCTTTCCATATGGGAAGCTCCCTGGAGGTACATGCTGTGTGCTACCCAGGTTTGGGGTGGGAGGGTTGACATTTACTTACAATGAAAGACAGAGCAAGAGGGTACATCCACGTGCCTAAGATAACATAGGAAACCAGAGCTCACAGCATGAAGTTGCCAGAGAGCAAAGGAGTCAAGAGTTTGGGAGCCTGAGAAGCAAAAGGGTCACTGTCCCTGGGGTACACAGCGCCCAAGGGAAATGGCAGATGTATTTTTTTAAGTATTTATGTCTAATTTGCATAAATTAAAATGTGAATGACATTGCGTCTATGAAACAAAGTGGCGCTTTTGTATAAAAATAATTTAAGTAGCTTTAAAGCAGTTACAGCCTTTATGTTTGCCATCAACTGTGATAGCTAAATGTATATAAGCTACAAACAAGTTTGAATGGAAGAGGACTGAGAGTCATGATAACATGGCACAGTCTAGGTTTTCACAATGTGAGCTATACACATGAACTATTAAGGGATTTCCATGTGATTAAAGAGACTGCAAGAGAACGTTCTGCTCTGCACATCCTCAAAATGTGATTTGTACCATCTAGCACCTCTGTTTTTACTCAGAGTGAGTGTGAATCAGTGTCGTCTAGAGTTTTTGCATTATGCAAGCATGGTTCTTGGTCAGCAATCCTTTGCACATTGTCGTGGATGAGAATTTGAGCAGCAAGGCTAGATGAAGTTCAACTATCAGACACTAGTAATCTAGCCCTGCGTCCCTTAGCCATCTGCTTGGCTCTTCTTTGGTTTGCTTGATGCCTGGCTTTAGTTCTGATCAGAAAGCATTTGCCTATGCTCTTCCTAAAGGCTGGGATTCCACCCCCTTCAACCTCATGCCTGGCCCATTCCTCCCAGCTTCTTGATTGAAATCAAGACTGTGCTGTTCTGTTTCTTTGAGAGCATTCAGAAAATTCATCAAACATACGTAGTGTTTATATGAATATTTACTTGTGCCACTGGCAACAGCATCTCAGAGCAGGGATCCTGTCGGTCTTGGCCACAGCTGTGTTTCCCAGGGCTTAGATGCTTAATTTCAAAGGAAATGAGGGTTCCATCCTCTTTCCTCAGGCCTATTGATGCTAAGGCTCTCCTCTGTTAAGAGCCAGCTCAGATCCCACATCCTCTTCCCCTTTACCCAACACCCTAATACATATTGCCCCATGCAGTGTGCCTGCCATGTGCCAGATAATGCAATATAGGAACTCAACACACACATGGGTGTGTGATTCTCACTGACTCCTTACAATGGCACCGGGAGACAATCACCACATCCATTTTTACTGATGAGGAAACTGAGGTTCGGCTTAGTTGAGGTGACCAATCCCACACAGCAGTAGGTGGCAAAGCCAAGTTTGTACCCCATTCTCATCAGCTCCAGAGCCTTTGTTCTCCCTGCCCAGTAAGCCTTTTAGGGTCACAACTATTCTGCTGGTGACTTCGGCGGGGGAGGGCAGTAAGATGTATAGAATCCCTCTGCCACTTACCCTAGCAAGTGACACACACACTGAGGAGCAAGCACTCCTTTGTTGTGTGGATCAATTAAAAACAAAAAACAGGCAACAGTGACCTTGGCCACTTATTCCCTGTGGAGATGGTCTTTGCCTTGTCTTTAGAGTGACTGAGGGATCTCAGTCACAAGTAGACATCTAGGGACAGATGAACATATTGTCAGGGGAGAAAAGGGTATCTTTGTTGTGAAATGAAGATAGATTTTTCTAGAAAGAGAGGAAACCTGAGCATACCTGAGAGCGAGACTCATAATCCATGGAATGTCTGTCATCATCTCTTTCCAGTCCAAAATGTGGTCTTGACATCACAGGAAGAGAAAGATCCCGTTGAGGCAGCCCTACAATGGAAGAAAACTGTCAGGGGCTGCAAGATCTAGTTCAACATGGTGGGGCTCAGGTATCCCTGCCAACGTCAGAAGTTACCTAGCGTATGAATGTTTAAAAATGTGTCTGTTTTCTCTGCTTTCTGTAGAATAGCCTTGAAACATCCCAAGGTCCCTGCCTCATCCATCTTTCCTAATCTTAGAGTCAGAGTCATGCCATAAGTTGTGAGGGTCCAAGCGTGATGCGTGTATTCTGATTCTCGGTCACTGACCTTTTTGGTTCCCTCATCTGATATCAGAGATAAAGCCTAGAGGGTCGCCAAATAATCTATTGGTAAATATGATAGACTTGAGAATCTTTTCCTCATTACAATTATAGGATGCCCTGCATCCTATAAATACAGTCTCTCCCAAGTCCAGGAAGAACAAGAGATGGGCTCTGGTGGTCTGAGTGCCAATAATGCATTGGCATGGTTCTTACTGGTTCTACTCTAATTCTCTTTTAGTCACTAAAAAGACTGATGTGGGGCACTTTGATGCAGTGTCTCCCCATACTTGCATGAAACCATGACAGGCAATGTCATCATAATAAAAATGTGTTTGTTTCTCATGATCATACCTCTGTCTGTAGTACTTCATTGTTTTTTAAAGTTTTGTAGCAGCCATGGGCATATATACAAATATGTATGTATATGTATAAATATATATCTATAGTTTTCTTTAAATGAAATATGTCTGCTTAGAAAAAGAAATATTGACTTAACAACCGCATAGGCTGAAATAGGCTTGTGGCATGAAATGGCTCTGCTGAGAGGAAGTTCAGAAGCTAGAGCCTGGGACCAAACACTTTCAGCAACAGAAATACAACCGAGATTGAGCACCAGGGCCTTCTGAGGCCTCTGCGCTCAGGCTCTGTCCTGAGCCTCAGGCAAGCAGACAACTTACTGTTTCTGGGATTCCTGGTGTATGACCAGCGGTCTCGAGGCTCCACATCTCTGCTTCTACCCCGGCGCTCCTGGTCTCGGTCACCTAGGCAGGTATGTTTTTTATTGAACAGAAGTGCTTTGACATTTTTGTGTTTCCTTTATGTGTGCACACATGCCTCCCTTGATGAGATAGATGCAAAATGGAAGGTTATAGACTTCCAGGCTCAGTAGCTACCCTAGAAGCTTTTCCCTAAGTGGGGCTTGCTTCATAGCAAGGATCAAAGCTAAGTCTGTAAGCTAGCTTTACTTCAGACATCCCAACTGTTTTCTCAGCTACGAAGTGGTCAACTCCAAATTTGGGAAAAGGACTATAGACCTTCTATGTCTAGCATAGGCCAGGTGACTTTAAATTGTACAACATTCTATTGTAAAGAACCTGAGAAAGCAGAACACGCGTCCACTCTGTGAACAATTCTGCTAGCACAGCCTGAAGTAGATGTTAAATAGTGTAAATATTTTATTGTTTAAAAACACCTGCATGTTATTCAGTTATAGGTGCCTGTTCTCATATGAAAATGCCTCTGTTAATCTGCTCTCTTTGGGTCTCTGAGTGATGCTGAACTTTCTCAGGCTGTAATCTTCATGGAGATTACATGCCCCTATGCCTTTTTATGACATGGCATCTGGTGGGGTAGGGTACTCACTGCTGAAAGAATGGGATGATCGAGGTGGTGGGGTTTCTCTCCCAGTTCGGCTCATGTCGTCGTCACTGGTCATGTCACTGCTGGTGTCGTCTGAGAAGACACCAAGCAGTAACTTAATACTTTTGGTAGCTGGCCTATGTTCTCACACACAGCCACCCTCTCCGTAGCAGTTTCAGTGATCAGGTCCTTCATGCTTCATCTCAGCCCTCATGTTGTGGCATCTATCTACTCCTGTTCATTAAGCCTGGGTGGGGAACATGTCTGTAACCATCTCTACTATACCACTACCCGAAAGCAGCCAACAGGCCATTTCCCAAGCTACCATACCATGATGGTAATGAAAGGTTCTCTCCCTAATGGACTTTCTCCCAGAGGATGGCCCACTTTTCCTCTGCTGGCTCACTGGTTAGTCTTAGCTGGGGACAGTTTGTTGTCCAAGAGTCATTTGGCCACACACATATGGAGACATATGTGTCAAATCTAGTGGGATATGTCCAGGTGGGGCCTATTTTGTTGCCCCATGAGAGAGAATAGCCTGACCAGAACAGTCATTGGCAGGACCAAGACTACCAACTGTCTAAGCCACTAATACTACCTTCTGTAGTAGCTCACCTTCCTGGTGGTACATCTTGTAATTTTCCAGTGGAATGGTGAGTTTTTCAAGTTTGTTTTGCTCACACCCAAGGGCTTGAGCAGTTCAAGGATGGTCAGCTGATCTCCTCTTGCTGTGAGGGTCTGCCTGTAACCAATCAAGGCAGAATTTTCAGAGTCTGAGCAGGGTTTTCTGAGACCTAGCACATTCCGCTTATTGTAAGGCTCAAAACCTCTGATGAAAGAATTCAGACCAGTGGGGTCGCCTCCCAGGATGGCATCTAGCTCTTTAATCATGTCACTCTCTAGCTCCCATAGAATGTCTCAGGTATGGTGGTAGACAAGTGATATGGAGTGAGAATTTCTCAAATTAAAAGTTCTTATTGAGAGGAACAAACATACAAGTGAACAGAAAGCATGTGACAGACTGTAAGCGCACTCACAGTCCTGGATATTGAGAGGAGCTATATGCATCACGATTATTCTTAAATAATGGGCTTATTTGCTTATCTCACAGCAGTAAATTGGTAACTCAAATGATTTGTTTTTTCTGTTATTTAGTTCTCACTATCTGACACAAAGCCAGATAGTGACATACATGTGGCACATTGAATTTAGTGAATGAAAGCCACTTATGTGGCTAATGTGTAAATATTATCAGTAATTCCAAAGAGATCAACATAGCTCATCGCGAGAAGCGTTCTAACTTCTGTGCCAAAAAATGATTTGCTTTTCTTAGAAAATTCATGACTCTGGAAAACAAATGTGATCTTTGTTTAATAAGCTCAAGATTATCTGGCAAGGCCAATAGACTAGCATTTGATAAACGAGCAAGGAGGAACAAAAGATTTATGTTTATGTGTATGTGTGTGGTGCATGACATGCACGGGTGTGTTATGTGCAGGAGTACACATGGATGCACACACGTGTACACAGCAGAGGGTAACCTCAAGTGCTGCTCCTAGGGTGTCAACCTTTCTTTGCTTTTGAGATAGTCTCTCACTGGCCTGGAACTCACCACTTAGACTAATGCATCTATCTTCACCTTACCAACACTTGAATTACAAATATCAATCAACACAACTGTGTGTGTTTGTGTGTGTGTGTGTGTGTGTGTGTGTGAAACAGGGTGTGTAACTCAGTATGTAAACCACTTAGCCTTGAACTCATAGAGATATGCCTGCCTCCCAAGTGCTGAAACTAAAGGTATGTGTCACCATCACCAAGCCTAGCTTCACAGCTGAATTTAATTTGTACTATGGGTTCTGGGGATCAAACTCAGTCCTCATGCTTGCAAGGCCAACACTTTAATGATTGAGCCATCTCCCAAGCCCAAAACAAATGATTTTTTAAGAGAAAGAAAGGAAAACAATCAAAGCCCACTTCAGAAGTACTCTTTCCTATGATGACAGGAAAAAATGCATTTGTTAGCAAAAAAAAAAAAAAAAAGAGGGGAGGGGCTTGGAAACAAAATAATCCAAAGTTGTACAGCATTCCTGTTCTTGTGCTTGCAAAGTAATGAACACTTATTGCTGCTTGCAGAACAGCTGATTTCATCAAAATTTGAGGTGTGTATATTCAGTCCTATCAGCTCCACTTCTATGAAACCCCTGAGATATTCAACAGCATATGGCCAAGAACATCATCATTCAAATGATCTTGGTAATAGACAAGATATACTGTATCCAACAGTGAATTATCATGTTGTCTTTCAAAGAACTAAGTGACTCTCGAGTAAATGGGTATAAGATGATCTCTGATACACTAAAATATAGAAACATTACAATGCTTAATAGCATCAAATGAAATATTAAGATGGAGAAAGAAGTCTGTCCCAGAATAGCTCAGAAAGGCCACCAATACAAATGCCTGAGTTTGTGGGTCCCAGGAGTAATTGAAAGGAGAAAATAGAGGAATTGATAAGATAAAAATTAATTGTATACATGTATGAAATTTCAAAGGAATAAATAAAAGATATTCTTCTTTAAAAAAGGTACCAGATCAGAGATACCTGAAGATGACTGGACACAACAGAATACTGAAGTACCCATTTGTATACCCTACCACTGGTCTCTAGGGAATGGACTCATTTGTCTTTTTCATTGCTTTATTTTTAGAGCAAATCTTTCCTGCTCATAAATGCAAAAATATTTAATAAACACAGTCTAGCAAAATCTAAAAAAATCTATGTCCATGAAAGGTCATCCTATCAATCTAAGGATGGCGTCTTCTAGGGTGAACTTTATGCATAATAAATAAAAGGGGAGAGGGAGAGCCCATATGTACCACGCCATGTTTCAAAGAGTTTGCAAACTCCCACTGCCTTTTTTTACAACGTCTTAGCAAGAACCAAGACTAGGAGATTTCTGCACATAATAAAGCTCCATCTTAAATAAACACAAGGAAACAGATTATTAGATACCAAAGGTATTCCTCCACATGTGGGAGAAAGGTGTTCCCTCTGCCACAAACAGCATTCCACACTATCTCGGAGGCCCTGACTAATGCAAGTAAAGGAAAAGAAAGATGTAAATGCTACTCTGGATCTAACATAGTATATTACATTGTATTATTTTGACCTGAAAAAAACTTACTGGTAAATATAGCAATAGAAAAATCCCATTAACAGCAAAATAAGTAAGTTCTCACCAATATGCTTTACAAACTACCTGTAAGTCTAAATAAATATTTTAAGATGTATGTAGAGGCATAAGACATATCCTAAATAAATTAAGAGATATATAAAACACACAGTCACATATATTCCCTATTTCTCACACACATACACACACACACGCGTGCATGTATACATGCACACACAGCACACACATGGGCACACACACAAGAACTGTGTACACTAGCCTTTCTTGTGAGGAACTTTGACAAAGTCACAAAGACAACTTCTAGAAATTAAATGGCCAGAGGTAACAGCAGAGGCCTGAAAAAGCAGATATAGAAAAGGCAGGGGCCTGTTTGCCTGTAATGTGACCCTGAAATATGAAAATAACATGTTCTGTTCAAAATAAGGAGCATAAGGAAGTCCATATATGCACTTATGTGGCAGTACATAACCATATGGGGGCTTAATTTCTGAAACAGAAAGAACTTTTAAATCAGAAAAAAAAATGTTGGGTTATTTAAATGCAAAGTTTTCTTTGGACTAAATGAAAGGTTAATTTCAACAGAAAGAAAGAGTGGACAGCCATCACTTTATAGTTGAGCTGTTAACCCAAGCATTTATTTGTAAGGTTAGACAGCCTTTTTGCACTAGGAAAAACCAGTGCTGAGTCAAATCTCCTTAAAGAAATGATGTACTTCAATTATACCCCCCTGAAGACTGAGCCACTAAAGCCCAGTGAAACACAGGGTGACCTGACTGAGCTAAGTCAGTATACTCAGAAGAGAGCATGCATCCTGAGTTCATGAAGCACTGGAAGTGAGAACAAACACTTTTAGTATGTTGTAACCTAATCAGTGAGTCATATGTGACATTAAGGAATGTCACAGCTTTATTTCCCAATTACAAATGTAATATATTTGTGTACTACAAAATAGTGTGGAAACAGCAAGCCATACTTACTGGTTAAATTTATCATTATTACTAAACCTTTTTATTTTAATTTTTTATATTATTATTACATGTGCATGTATGTGTGTGTATTGTGTCCATACATATTCATGCCTGTGTTTATGAAGGCCAGAGGTTGACTTTGTGTGTAGTCCTCTATTACTCTCCACTTTACTGGCCATTTTGTTTTGACCACTGAGCCCTAGAGACCCACCCTTCCCAAGGACCCCCCTCTTAGTCTCTCACTATGGTTCCATGTACAGACTATACCCAGCTTTTACATGGGTGTTAGGGATCTGAACCTATGTCCTCTGGCTTGCATGACAAGTGCTCTACCTGCTAAGCCATACCCCAACCCCTCCTAAACCCTTTTAAGTCCATACATGTGTCTTTCTTACTAAAAATATACTCATCTATGAAAATTATAGTGCTGACCAGGAAACAAAATCATAGATGAGGAGTTTGAGTTTGAAATGTCTGATGAATGACCTGATCTCACATGAAAACTACACTGTGTGTGTACTTAAATGTATGGAACTATATTTAAAGTAAGCTGAAAGAAAATGTTCAAATACATTCATGTCTACTACTCCTGAAATGAACAAAAACAAACAAACAAACAAACAAACAAAACAACAAAATCGGCCAACCAACCAAAACCCAGATTAATCAAAAAGAAACGTCTCCTAACTTCTATTTAGGGTGTTATCTTAAGTTCACAATTAAACTTTGTGTCTGCTTATTAGCTGTGTGAATTTTTTAAATTTCCAACTTTTTAATAATAAAGTTCACAATAGAAAAAAACTATTTTAAAACATACAAATAAATCTAATGTTGTTGTTTTCCACATAGTTTAGTCTGCTTTATCAACCCTCCCACTGCTCTGCTTGGGATCTCCTGACAAGACCTCCTTTCTCACTCACTTTTATCTCTTGAAGCCTGCCCCTGGCACCCTGCTGTTATTTGCATTTGCTTCCCCAGTGTGTGCTCAAGGGGGCTGGCTACCAGGTACTGAATCCCACCTCTGCCCACCAAACTATTACTTCACCCTCTTTACAAACCAAGATTGAATTCTGGCCCCATGCAAAACATTTCTTTTATTTATTGTCTCTCCCTGGCTTACACACTCCCCCTCATCTTTCTCTTCATGCAGGAACCTTAGCATGAGTTGGACATTGGCCAAGGGCACCTGGGAGGCTCACAGATATTACCCTGACTCTGAGCTAGATGAAGGGAAGCTAAAGAGAGGGGCCAAATGATGTAGGCTAGTAATGAACATGCCCTTCCCATCCTGGGCAGAGAGGGATACTAGAGAGGATGTCTAGCTATCTTTCTACTTTTGAAGAGTCTGTTCATAAAGACATGAAATAGTCTTCTGCATGGAGAATAAAATTCCACTTATGAGTTGGAATATATGAAACCATAGATCAGTGATACTGCCTGTTAGAGGATGACATTGCCGCTATAGTCAGTGTGGCAGTGTTGGTGCCAATCTTTGAATATTTTATAATACTTAACTTCTTTCTCATTCTAAAATTAGAAGAGGAGAGTGGGCAGGCAAATTAGCATAATGTATAATAAAGATTGAGTTCATTAGGTATCTTTTACTCAAAATAGTAGGTGGGATTTTTTTCCCCCTCAGACAAACCATGGGTGAGCATTCTGATGAGCAGGGACACATATCAGGGGCTAAAAGGATCTGGGACTATGTGTGATAAGAGAGAAATCATGTGACTTCCCAGTCTTTTGTCTCGGGGCTCCCCCATCCCCATCAAAGGAGAAAGAAACTCCACCCCATATCCTCCTACCCCACTTCTACTTACTTACTTTGTGCCCTCATCATAGCGCACCTACATTAAGCCCACTAACTCATTCTACCTACCTCATTTAAAGGGGGCTGGAATTGAGAACTTTAAAGTCAGGAACCGAGGAGGTTACTCTTGTCATCTCTCAGGGACAGCATGGTGTGCAGTTTCTCCTCTCTTCTTGTTTGTTCCAGTCTCCTGCCTCTTTCTGCAGACCGGCATTCTCTACTTCAGTACGTTCATGGAGTCCAGTGCCGTCCCAGTCCCAGGCCTAACCTCACCTCTCAGTTTAAGTGCTCTAACACTGACAGGGTCATCAGTCTCTGTCCTTTCACCAGAAATCTGACTCTGAGACATACTGTAGCCTGATTTCTTCTAATAGTGGGGTCTCAAACTCACATATGCTGATGGGTCACCTGGGATGATTATGACAAAGGTAGTTGTCTTTATTGTGGGACAACTTAAGTGTATGGCTCCTTAGGACATAGGCATTGCAACTGGGTCTCTAACAACTAGATTCTGGTCTTACCTCCCTAAGCTTAAGTGTGCATATATATGAGACAAGGGGACATTTTAGGGGATTAGTAATCCTACATGGGAATGTGAGCAAGGAATGAATGACCTCTACCCCTAACACTAAGGCCAAGGCCCTACCCTCTGGTCTAATGGCTCTTTCAGGTCATTTCTACACCATCCTGGCTTCTTCTACTTGGTATAAGCTTAGCACTTACCACACTCCAGCCAAATCTCCTTATTGTTGTCCATTCTTGAGGGATTTCCCCAAAAGTTCAGAGAGAGAGGAAATAATAGCTAAGAGTTCAGTTTCATGATCAGCACTAAGACAAGGCTACTTCAGAGAAACAAAATGTCTTCTAGACCAGCATGACATGTTTGACCTTATTTGAATGACCAGCTGGTCGTATTTATTTTAGGGGATAGGAGCATGGGAATGTAAGCTAAAATGCATGGCTAATCCAACCATCTACAGGCAATAGATCTTCTCTAATCAGAACTAGCCTGAATGGAGATGGTGGAGAACAGGGGCAAAAGGTAGGAGTCTAGTCTTCTGATTGCCATAGCAACAGCATCACTATGACCAGGTGGTTGCACTAGGCTGTCTTAAAGGCCAGTGCTATCAAGGTTCTTCTATACCTTTTGGTTCTGATTTCATACTCACCCATCAACCTCCTCATTATGCTTTCATTTCCCATGTAGGTTTGCCTACAGGGAGAAGAATTTGCTGATCACACACTTTCCAGTATTTGGGTCCCTTCTACAATCCTCTCCCACCATAAATTTCTGAAGGAATAGGAGCATTTTGTTTCAGTTCCCATGTCAGTATAGTTCTAAGTGAAATCCCTGAACTTTGTAAAACGTGGGTCTGAATACATGAATCCTGCAGAAAAGGAAGACCTCTAGCTCTTCCTAGGCTTGAACACCAAATTGGAATCCTGGGGCATTCACGTGGGTCAGGAAAGCACCAAACCAGCTTCCAGGGGCCCTCTCTGCCATGTTAGCCCCTCCCCAGGCAGCGCTCCCCCACAAGCATAGCCAGCTATTTTTGCTAAGCACAGTTCCTTACTTTCCAGGTAAATGGAGTTCTCATTCAATAGGGATTATACCACTCACTTCTGGAGTGCCAGAGTCTGGCATGATTCTGTCCCAAATAGGCTGAGTATCAACACTTGCAGATGGATTGAACAAATGGACAACCTTTGGATATTCTGCTCACTTCTCCTCATCATGTGATTCATCATGTCTGGTCTGAATCAGTCAGCAAACTAGTAAAAAAGGGAGCAAGTTCTGTGAGGTCTCCCTTCTTGGCAATGCCCCCTTTGCGTCTTCCAGTGCTGGGACTCCAAGCCAAGCCACCTCTCACCCAAACGCCAAGTGTGCCTACCCTGCCCTCTGTAGGTTGCAACCAGATGATTTCTATAAATGTACATGTGATCGTCATGTCATCGTTGTGGTTCAAACACTTCAATGGCTTCCCATTGTATTTCTAGTTAAGCCCAAATACTTACCATTGATTTTAAGGCCTTGCACACAGTATGAAGCCCTCAACTTACCTTTTCTCACCTCAGTCAGTTGTCATTTGTCTCTTCTCTTGTTCTAGACATCCTGGGATTTCAGCTCCTCTTTCTGCATCCCTCAGGAACATATTTGACCCCTCTGATCAATCTATTATCCCCATGAAACATACCATTTATAATTCTTCGGAGATCAGCTTTACAGTTCCCCAGAATCTCAGGGAGGCACCGTCTGTCCTCTCCCACCTTAAGTTAGACTCTCCATGCAAATATGTACTTTCAAGGCAACAAACTGTACAATCATATTTTACACATTTTTAATTCCCCCATAATACATGAAAATAATTTCTTTCCTAGTTGAGATGATATTCCTAGTAAATGACACAACATATACAGAAGGTAGGTGGAAGGTGAATAGATTTCTCCTGTTTCTTCAGTCATTCAATAAAAGGCAAACAAGAAGCCTGAAGTGTCAAAGGAAAAGATAAGAGACTGGAAAGGATGGAGTAAGGCTAAAGGGGAAATTCTAGCAAAGTCATGACCCACCAGACAGGTATGTATGTTCTCAAGGAGCACAAATGGTGTTCTTATAATTATGTGGCATATATGTACATCAGGAAAATGTCAATGTGAGGAAGGGAAGTAGATACTTCACAGATGGGCGTAGTACTGTGAGGTGTGAGTATAACTCACCTGGACCAGCCACCCAGCTATTGGGGGACCTAGTTAGTCTTCCTTCCAGTTGTCCCAAGAAGAATAGATCAAAAAGGTAGAGCTGTGGGGGAAAAAAGAAAAAGAGAAAACATGAAGCACCCAATTTATTTCACAATTACAGTCTTCTTTGGTTGGGAAGCAGCCTTCTAGTGGCTCTAACAATCTTCTGGGTATTGCCAGTGATTAACACACTACACTTCTTACCCTGAATTAACAACCTCTTGTTACCTCACCCTTCTGCCCAAGGTCCTGAGCTATGCAGTTGGGTGTGATTCACTTCTGGTACGCATGTATGAAAATAGTGGCTTCAGTCATCTATGTATGGATATAGGATGGAGGCACTGCAGCCCCTGCCATCTACTGGAACCAAGATTAAACTTTCTGAGGTCCCAGTTCTTAGTCTACCAAGATGAAACAGGGCTCTGCAACTGTCACTTATAAAAAGACAACCTCCTCTTTGGACCTGCAGCATGCAGGTGACATATGCACAGTGACTGTCAGACACCCCTTTGGAGCCAAAAAAGATAGTACCAAGGAGGGTGGGTGTGGCTGTGATGATCATGTCAGTCCAGAATAGAATCGCTCCCTCAAGCCAGGCTGTTGTCATTCAAGATGACATCTGTTCAGTGAACACCAGACACCCTCTTCTGGCCAACAAAGATGACACCAAGGGTGGGGAGGGCACTGAGGTCAGTACTAGCGAGCCCCTCCTTGTGGCCCACCTCCTGCAGCAAGCCCAGATGTCATTCAAAATGACACTGGCAGAATGTACACCAAATGCCCCTTGTGACCAACAAAGATGGCACCAGGGCAGGCTGACCTCTGTGGCCAGTTACTCAGGAAGAGCTCCTCCCTTGAACCTGCCCTAGCAACCAACTAAGCTGTCATTCAAGATTGCTCATGCACCATAAACGACTAGGCCATAAAAAAAAAAAAAAAAAAGAAAGAAAGAAAATGATGACGTGGTGAACAGGGCTGTATGTTAACGCAGGAACAGAGATTCTTTCCCTCTGGCCTGCCTCTAGTGGCCACTCCAGCTGTTACTCAAGGTGACAGCAATGCAAAGCACATTAAACACCATCCCACAACCATGACAAATAAAGATGGCGCCCAGGTAGGCAGAACTTAGAGCTCCGTCCTCTGGCCCTCCTCCTGCAGCAAACCAAGCTGTCATTCAAGATGGCTACTGCACCATAAACGTCAGCAAGATGGTGTCACGGTGGGCGGAGCTCCGTGGTCACGCGAGACCATGTCCCCATAGCTTGCTTGTTGCTGCCAGCCCAGCCAGTGCGGCTTACTGAGAACTTTGTATATACCCCCGACCCAAGCAAGCCAGACAATGGTGACACTAAGGATGGGCAGGGCTGATCTGCCCCAGCAGTCACGATGATAACCCCTTGTAGCCACATCTTAGCTAGCGTGCAAGATGGCACCTGCGCCATCAAAGTCAGGTGCTCCCTTATGGCCAAGGTGGATGAGGCTCTGTGGGCACTCAGTAGCAAACATCCTCTCCCAGCTAGCCTCTCACAGCCAGCTAGGCCATCAATCAAGATGACACCTTGACAGATAACTTCAGACACCCCATCTTTGGCAAACAGGTGTCGACAAGGTGGGTGGAGTTGTATAGGCCAATCAATCATGACAAGAAAAGTCCTCCCTTAGATCTACCCCCTCCCCCGACAGCCAGCCTGTCATTCAAGATGGCGTCTTCATAAATGTTAACGGCCTGCTAATGCCAGCAAAGATGGCTTCAGATTGGGAGGGGCTCTATGGGAACTCGAGATCAGAGAGCCCCTCCCCCTGACCACCTCTTGCCGCAAACAAGTTCAGCAGTCACACAAAATGACACCCATGGAGAACTTCTCAAGCCCATAAAGCTGTGTGGCCACGTCAATTAAGACGAGAGCCCCTCCCTCAGGCCCACCTCCTGCAGCCAGATGGGCTGTCATTCAAGATCGTATCAGCCATCCCCCTTCTTAGCCCCTCCCGGCCACTCCCCCTTTCCGCCTGCAGCCCCCAAAGATGGCGTCAGGGTAGGCGGGGCTTTGTGGTGACTCAGGACTAGAAAGCCCCTCCTTCTGGCCCGCCTCTTTGCGGCAAGCCAGTCCAGCTGTCAGTCAACATGTTAGCAGAGAGCCTCGAAGCCCCGCCCTTGACTAGCAAAGATGGCGCCGGGAGGGGCGGGACTGTGAGGCCCTGTCATTCAACATAACAGCCCCTCCCAGAAGCCCATCTCTTACAGCCAACCGGCCGTCTTTCAGGAGGGCGCCGGTAACGTTCCTGTCTGCGGCCTGGGAACAGCCAGCAAAGGGTGAACCAGGCCCTGCTGTCTGTCAGGTCGACCCTCCGGACACCCGGGCCACACTTTTAACTGTTGATAACCTCCATGGAAAAGCAGAGTGCTCCTGCGGCCGCGAGGTGGCAGCATTCGCGCGGCAAGCTAAAGGCCGTGCCGGAGGGGCGGGGCCGACAACATTTGGGGAACATCTTCGCAGCTGGCCACCAAAGCAGACACAGATGAGACAGCACCCCATAGACTCAAGCCACTGTGGCCTTTCGGTCTCCTCCACTACCAAGCGAAAGCCGCGCTTGCGCGGCAAACCGGAGGCCATTTCAAGATGGCTACTGGTGGGCGGGACCTACGAGGGCCCTCCTCGGCCCTAAGTGAGTGACGTCACTGTCTTAGCCCTGTCCCAACCACAGGGAGCCAATCAGGATAAGCCTGCGCAGCAAAACTGTCTCCACCCTCCAAGATGGCGCCAACGGGGTGGAGCCGAAAAGTATCTCCCAGCCGCGCTCTGGTCCCACCCCCAAGTGGCTCGTAGTCCCGCCCACCGCCACTGCGGCAAAACAAGACCCGCCCCCGCGGACGTGCCGCGCATAGCGGTGGATGGCTGGTTCGCGAAGACCCTCCCAACCAGACGTCCTGGCGGTCGGGGTTAACCGCGCAGCCCCTGGCTCTGCTGAGCAAAGAGAGGGAAGCCACAGAAGAGGTGGCTCGGAGAGCGCACTCTGATGTCCACCTGGGTGGTCTTGCAACAGAACTCACGCATCGTCTGAGTGGCTATCAGCCACGCAGTCGAGGCAAGGAGCCTGGATTCTGTTGGGATTCTAGGTGGTTCGCCCCAAAACCCTAATTCTGCGGCTCCAAGGCCGTGACAAATGGAGTACCCTTAGATTCCCAGTCACCGAAAAGGCATCCCTGTGGCAACACGGCCACTCGGTGGCGAACCCCCTTCCCGAAGGCGCGGTCTGCAGCCTTGTCAACTACCCCTGGTGAGCCGTGACATGGTCTGCCGCCCCTGGCCCACAGCAGCGCACCCCGAACACCGTCTGGACTCTGCAGATGGTGTACAAGAGAGTGTGTGCCACTGGGCAGGCAGGTGGCCGGCTGACTCACCTCCCGGGAGCACCGCACTCTGCGCACACACCCGACCAGGGTCGGCTGTCTAGTTCGCCCACACTGAACTAGGCGCCCGGAGGCGCCACCAGCTCAGGGTGGACATCTCTCCACTTCTCCTCCGATGCTCTTCCTCCCGCGACTCCTGACTCCCCAGCGTCTGCAGCAAGGGCTGTGGGACACCTCCTTGTCAGGGTCCTCTGCAGAGGCGGAGCTTCCTCTCGGACCAATCCAAGACCCTGTTGCCCGCTTCTGGCCCTCGCCACGCCTCTCATACCCTGCCAATCAGACTGCGGTTGTCAAGGCAACAGCTTGGCGCCAAGGCACGGAGTTGACGTCAACGGAGTCAGTGTTAGGGGCCCCTAAGCAGGGTCTGGAAAAGGGGGATGGGATGTGGGTGTGAATGGACGCAGCCCCCCCAAAGAAATTGAGGTGAAACAGAAATACCTACTAATGATGCCCCAATGCAAAACCTGAGAAGAAAGAGGGGGGAAAAGGACAAGCATATATTTGTCTAAAATCGGAGGAAAAAAGGAAAAAAAAAACTACGAAAAATTGAGACAGAAACACATACGTTGAGGTCTAACCACGAATGATAAAGGTAGAAGAAAGGACTTTTCTGCCTGCAACACCCAAGCACTAAGCTAATTTCCTTAATAAACAAGAAGCTATTGGAAAGCAACAAGGGAAAGACAAAAGCAGACCAAAAAAAAAAAAAAAAAAAGGGGGGGGGGGAAGAGACTTCAAGTCACAGGACAATACAAATGGCTGGAAGAATCATGACCTGACTCTGCATAGCGAAATGCCAACCTGAGATAGCGGGTGAAGGCGGCTTATGGCAGTGCGCTGAATCGCATGCTGTCATCCATTGCGTGAATCCACTGCGTAGAATAGCAAGAAATTGCGAGGGAGTGAGCAGGTAGACTACCAAGCCTGCCTCTGAGAGAAGAAATTCCTGTTACCGGAAAAAATAACGGGGGTATCGCTGCCATAAAGGACCAGATCGTAATAGAGTCAATGAAATAAACTCGTTGCTGAAGTTTGTAGAAACGAAATGGTAAGTGTGGCTTTTTTTTCCCCTCTCTCTCTTTCATTTGTTTCTTTGTTAAAAATAAATACAAATGTGGGCGAAGATTCTAGAACGATGTGCAAGAAAATTTTAACTGGTTACCTCTAGGAAAAGGAATGGGGGAGGGGAGGACAGACTACCAAAAGATGATTTTGGCTTTATTCTCCGTGCCCATGAATTTCTTTGGCAGATAAACGGTATTTCTTCCCTGGCAGTAGAATCAATGAATTATTAAAAGTTTGTTAATATACTGTTGATGGAACCATTCCACTGCCAAGGAATTTAAGTGACGGAGATAAGTACAGGTGTGTGAAAGACTAATTATGGGGTCTTTACAGAGCGTCCTATCTTATGACTAAGAATGTACTCTGCAGAACAGAATTGAATTCCAGTAAATCCATACAATTGTATTTTTGTGTAGCCGCTAAAACTTTGGGTTGTATATTTTTATTAGACACATAAAATACAGTATTTTAATTTTAAAGAAAAAATGCATGCAAGTCCGTGGTCCATGGATTAAAAGCAGTTTTACCTAAGAGCACAGAAAATCTGATGCCTCGGATTTAATCTTATATCTATACCACAGAGTTATCCGGGGTTGCTTGCTAGATAGTGAAGTGGCGGGGTTGTGGATAGGGTATGTAGTTTTAATGCCCTGGACCTTGGTTGGATAGGCTTTCTCATCTCACACAGCCACATACGCGGAAAATATGAGTGAAAACACTGTCCCGCGAAGGTGAATGCCACACTGTGTTTAGGTCTTTGAGTCTGACTACTCAATCTGCTCACAGGGAGAGCTGTTAAACCGTTCTCAAGCTTAGGACCCCACAGAGATTGGCTTTGGAGCCCCCAGGGAATTCTAAAATCTTGTTAAAATTCTTATTGTGTGAGTGTGGTGGGGGGGGAGGTTTACCATATTCAAAGGACTCATCCCATCTATCTGCAAAACCAGTTTATCAGTTCATCTGCTCTCTTGGAATTCAGTAGGCTGAAAGAACTCCCACAGAGATAGGATTCCCCCCCTCCTCAGTATTCCCCATGTCCACTATCTCTTCAAACTGTTGTCACTCAGTCTCTTTTCATCAACTCCACAGCCTCACTACATGTTTTTGGCTAATATATGAAGACTTCCTTTCGCCTGTCCCTGAAATTGCATGACAATTTTACCAACTGTTTTCATGCTTAATCTGGCAAAGACATTTAACATCTGAAAAGGAGCAGTGACAGTAACCCTCTCTATGGTTTGAGGACTGCATGGTCCTCTTTACCCATAGCCTCTTCCCTTATCATAGCCGTCTTTTCCTTTCCTTAATCTCCAAGCACGGGATGTTCTCACATCAGAATGTGGCCATCATTCTTACACAACCTCTCCTTAGATAGCCACCTATTTCCTAACCTAGTCACAGGTTTAAATGCTTAGTCACACACCAGTGAATCCTCACTCTCAATTCTATGCCACAGAACACTTCACAGAGTCCCAATCTCATATATTCAACAATCCACGTGAAAGCCAGATGCTTCATTCATGTATTTAACAGGCAACTCAAAAACACTTAAAACAGCATGTTATAGGGCTGGGGTGGGTGTAGTTTTTTTTTTTTTTTTTTTCATTTTGCTCATGTTTAAAAACAGCATCTTTTGTTGTAGATAAAAAAAAAATCTCACAATCTTTTATTTTTAAAACTCAGGGCATCCTGACTATATCCAAAACGCACCCCAAATTTGTCCCATATATTTCCACCCAGTTTTCCTACTAAGTTTTTTTTATTCCAAACTCTTCCTTCTGACACTCTCCACACTACACTGAACAGATTTTTGAACACACACTGATCTTTCAAGGCAAACAAAATGTCTTTTTCGAGTTTGAGCTGCCTCCTGGCTTCCACTAATCACTGTCAACAAAGTGCAAAGGTACCTAAGGGTCTTGAAACAGTGTCAGATATTGGTACTATAAAATCCAACAATCTTTTCCTAAAGATGCCATTATGCCTGACAAAAATTGTGCTTAAGAAAGCTAATAGATAGTCTAATAAATATTATGTTTTAAGGCTTTTAAAAAAATGTTTGTATTGTTGTATTTCTAGTGATATGGATCCCCCCCACACACACACACACACACTCTATGTTTCTCTATCAGAGTGTCTTCCTGAACTTTCTGATCTGGTCCGTTGACTCATTTGTCCACCTCTGTGTGTTAACACACCGTGTTCATTAACACTGCTTTATGATGCCTTGACTTCTAAAGGGGCCACCCTCTCTTTGGTTTCCTAAATGCTCTGTAAAGCTCCTCACCTTGTTGCTTCCAAATGAATTTTCATATGGGCTTGTCAAGTTTGATGAAATATCCTCCTGAGATTTGTATTCATGTTTTATTAAGGCTGGAGAGTAATTTAGATAAGGCAGCAAATGTCATGCTATCAAATGCTTTCATCTCTGACCACAGTCTGTGCCACAGTTTATTCATACCCCACAGATATGAACAAGATAGTATAATAGATTTTTATTCCTATAAGGGTCCTGTTTGTCTTTAGGAGGTATTTTTCCTATTCACTGTTGTCAGTCATTTCTACTTGGCTATTTTGTAAAAAAAAAAAAAAAAAAAATCCAATAATTTCAGATTTATAAAAGTTGTCAAGATAATACAAAAATTCCTATTGCAATTTTCCCTGGATGAGAACATCTGAACAGAACCTTGGCACAGGACATTGTCAAAAAGAAATCAATACTAGCACAAAACTCTGAGACTACAGACTGTGTCTGGATTTTACCCGTCTTTCCATTAATGTCTATATCAGAAACAGGACCCTCTAAACCATACATACACATACACACACACACACACACACACACACACACACACACACACAACACTGGAACCCCAACATTACGCACACACTACACACATACAAAATGCAGGAACCCCAACACCACACACACAGAAACACACACACAAAACACAGAATCCCCAATACCACACACACAGGACTACCACCACTTATACCAAACACACACACATTCAGGCCCTCAGTGTTTCTTGGCGTTCTTTATTTTCCATAAACTTGGCCATTTTGGTGTGTACAAAGAAAACTATTGTATAGAATATGTCTCAGTTTGGGTTTATATGATGTTTTTCTCATGACCTGACCTGGGTTATACATTTTTTGAAGGGAATATTGGCCGTTGCTGTCCATGTGTTGGTGTGTGAGCTGTTGAACTGGCTGACGTTTATTGTTAATTGATTATCTTTCTATAGAATTCCCTTGGATTTTTAAAACGTTAACATCTTCACTAATCATTGTTTTTTGTTTTAAACTTTTATTAACAGTCGTTGTCTCTGTTGTGAGACAAAGTAAGTCTGATCTTATACCTGAGAGAAAGAATAGTCTTATCTTTGTCATCGAATACAAATGCCTACTGTGGACATTTTGGCTGAGCCTGTTCACTGAAGGCTATAAAAATTTTAGCTTAAAAAAATCATACCATTCATGAGTTTAATTTTATGCATTTTCTGTATTTGGAGAGATCTAATGATTTCCTATCTACTAAGGATGTGATTCACAGTCGTTTCTGAGGTTAAACTGTGTTTACATTTCTAAACCCTACTTAACCATGCTTATGAGGTTATGATTTATACAGACATGCAGCTGGATATCATTTTTGTGTCTCAGTTCACATTTTGTATTGTTATTATTAATTATTATTATTTTGTCCTTATCTGGCTTTGGTATAAAAGTTATACAAGCCTTATAAAACATTTTAGATTACAGTTTATTACCTTTTTTCCAGTGAAAATTGTTTTTTATTGATACTGTTCTTGTTTTTTTGTTTTTGTTTTTTCCAGCTTTGCCAAAGACATCATGTCTTTGTTTTTTGTAAAAGTGGCTTTTGATTTTGCCGACCACATTCTTTCTTCTTTGTCATTTAATTTGCTCTTGATTTCTTTCCTAGTTGTTTGAGCTCCTTTTCCTAGCTTCTTGAGTTGCATATTTATCTCATTTATTTTTATTTTCTCTTAATTTTTAACATATGCATCGAAGGCTATAAATTCTCCTCCAAGTGCCACTTGAGCCAGATCCGACATACCTCATCATGGTTCAGATCTGCACTTTGTTTCCATTAGTGGCATAAAGGAATGTGTTTACGATTCTGAATTCTACGTAAAAAAAAGAACTGTCTTTTGAATGTACATTTTGAAAATCCACTGCATTGCAGGCAAATAGAATTAGTCTGTGAAATTTGCCATTTTTAAGGTGTCTTTTGGCTTAGGTATGATTGGTTAACTTTGAATTGTTCAAGGTTTTAGACAAGAAACAGTATTCTCTAATTGCTAGGCATTAATTTCCATTTATATGCATAAGACCAAGCTTGCTAACTGTGTTTACATTTCCACTGTCCTAATTTTTGTCTGCTTTATCCATTCACTCTAAATAGTCCCAATTAATGCAAACTAATATGCCAATGCTTTTTTTCATTGCTTCTTGTAGTTTTTGCTTTAAGTATTTTAAAGTCATGTTGTTAGGAATGAACAAGTCCAGAGTCCTTCTGTTAAGTGACAAAGAGAGTATATCTGTTTACACATGTAATTATGGACATATTTATTTAATATGCCTTTTCTTTTTCATTTTCTCTTTTCCAGTTTTCTGTTGGGTTGGTTAATTTTCCTTACTGTTTTTTATTTCCTTCTGTTTGTTTGCTCTATTCTTCCATTCAATTTCTGTTAATTCTTTAAGTTCTTAATGTATAAAAAAACATTTACAAATACTAAATGTATTAAAGCAAAGATTCTGGCATACCTTAACAATGCATTGAATTTTTCATGCTAGCATAATTGTAGTTATACTTATTTTGTTTGTTTGTTCAGTTAGCTTTGGCTTTTTGTTTGTTTTGGGACAGGGTCTCACTGTGTAGCCCTGAAACTCACTATGTAGACAAGGCTGGCCTTGAACCCACAGATATCAATCTGCTCCTCAATTCCTCCTGAGCACTGGGATTTAGAGCATGTCCCACAGCACCCAGCTAGTTATACCCTTTAACTTCCAACCACCCCCAAATCCATTTTATATTAAAAAATACTAATTTTGTGGACTGATGTATTATCAAGTCACTCATTCTAAAGTCTCCCTCCTTCCTTCCAGGTTAATTTTCCCATTCATTGCAATACCTTTAAAAGATATTTTTGACTAACAGCATAGCCAGGTAGAAGGCTTAAAGACATTGCTTATCTGTTTTCTCTTCGTCATCTAACCCTGCAGATGAGATCTTCCTGTCAGGCATAATGTCTCTTTCTGAGGGTGCTGGTTTTCCTCCACAGCCTTTAGTATAGGAATATGATTGGAATATCAGTGATTAGTTGGGGTAGTGCCTTTCCTCTATCCCGCAGAATTCTTAGCCAGTATGTCCTAAGTAGCCCTTTACTGCCATTCAATTTCTATTTTTCTGTACCTGCTACAATATTATAATAGTTTCCTCTTTTGTTTATGAAAGAAGTTTGTGGCTTTTTACAATTCTGCTTTTTAGATTTATTTTTCATGCATATGGGTGTATATATTTGCATCATGTGCATGCATTATCTGAGGACTCCAGAAGAAGATGTTATAGTCCGCCTGGAACTAGAGTTATGGATGGTTGTGACCCTCCCTGTACGTGCTGAGATCTGAATCTGTGCCCTCTGCAAAAGCACCTGGACCATCTCTCTAGTCCCCGATTTTAAAAAATCTGGGGGGGGGGGGTTTAAGACAGGGTTTTTCTGTGTAGCTCTGACTCTAACTCCCACTTTCAAGATTCTTGAAAAGATAGAGTATCCATAAAGTGTTCATCTATAAGATATATATATATATATATATATATATATATATATATATATATATATATATATATATATAAAATGTTCCAGTTAGAAACTTTAAAACAGAAAAAAATGTATTAATATCTATCATATGTATTAATATGATATATTAAAATATATTAAATATCTATCATTAACATATCTTAAATATTATTGTACAATTATCTCTATCATTCCAAATTTATACTAAAACAGACCTTATCTCAAAGTATGAACCCCCAAATTCATGGGGCCACAACAATGAAAAGTATTTCTGTTTGGGCTGGAGAGATAGCTCATTTGGTAGAGCACTGGCTGCTCTTCCAGAGGACCCTGGTTCAATCCCCAACACCCACATGGCAGAACACAACTGTGTAACTCCTGCTCCAGGGGACCCGACACCCTCAAATAGGCATACATGCAGGCAAAATACCAATGCACATAAAAATAAAATAAATATTTTTTTTTCAGTATTTCTGTTTGGGCTGGGGAGATGGTTCAGTTGGTAGAGCACTTGCCCTGCAAATCTGAAGACCTGAGTTCCATCCCCTGCACCAACACAATGAAAAGCTGGCCACAGGACACATTTATAATCCTAGTGCTGGGGAGACAGAGGCAGAACAATCCCTGGGACTTGCTGGCCACCAAGTCTAGCCTAATCGGTGAGCTTCAAGTTCAGTGAAAGACCTTGTCTCAAACTATAAAATGGAGAGTGAATGAGGAAGATGAGGGACAATGACCCTTCATATTCACCTGCACACACATGTACACATGCAAATGCACATACACACAGCACTGTCTTCGTTGCTTGTAACAGTTGTTGCTTCCAAGTGGGCAGTGGCATTTCCCTGAGGCTATATGACCTGTGATACCATAACAGGCTGAAGGCTCAAGCAGATGAGATCCAGCTGTTCCCTCTCAAGGCTGACCCTGAAGAGATTTGCAGAGATGTAAAACGATGCTACCAGGTAATCTTTTGTCTCAAAAAGTCTTTTTTCACTTAAAGTGTTAACATATGATAGGTTTATTACTATTATTACTAAGTTTATTACTATTAAACTAGTAAATGTACATTCAAAGTTGTTTGATTTCTTGTCTGTTAAGGTAGGTAAGAATCAATAGATAACAATTCCATATATTTATGCCATGCAATGGTATGCTTTGATATGTACTTATGAACTTCCATGTTGCTTTCACTTCTCTCCATATCCATGCTCGTAAATTGGTCTTATAACAGCCAGTCTAGAAGGTATGAGGTAACATCTCATTGTGGCTTTAGTTTGCCTTTCCCCGTGATAATGAATACTAAGCATGCTTTCACATACCTGGTGGTGTCTTCTGATAAATGTCTCTTGGAGTACTTTGCCATTGTTATTTTAAAATTCCTTGGGTGGGAGAGAAGAAGAGAATATTACTCAGCTGTGAAGAAAGTGAAATCACAAAATTTACAGGAAAATGGGTGGATTTGGAAAATATGAAACGAATGACCCAAACTCAGGAAAAACAAAACACCTTGGTCTTCATATCTAGATCCCAGCCTATAATATATATATGTGTATATATATATATATATATATATATATATATATATATATATATATATACACAGAGAGAGATTTAAGTGTGAGCACAGCATAATATTTAAAGAAGAGACCAAGAAGAGGTTATCGTAGGTAAGGGGGAAGGGCAGAAAGGCAGGTAAAGGACATGATTTAAGAAGAGGCTATAAAGATAATTGTTTTTCTAGTTTCTAATCTGTTGTAGTTTTCTTTGTGTATGTGAATATGTGTGTGTGTGTATGTATGAGTGTGAGTGTGAGTGTGTGTGAATATGTGTATGTAGTGGGTACATTAAAATCTAAGAGATTGTGATGGTGTAAAACCCACATAAAGCCCCAGGGCCTAATCAGGACCTTTGAAACTGTACAGAAGTTCACTGGGATGAATGGAGTTTGGGACTTGGCTCATGTCTGAGTGCTTAAACAAGGTGTGTGATGTCTTTGTCAGACAGTTAATTAGAAGAAAGTAATTTTATGTTTTAAAAGATTGTTTTTGTTGTTGCTATTAAGTTACTTACGGATTGAGGACACTAACTCCTTACCAGGTATACGGCTTACGTGTAGCTTCTCTCATTTCATTCATGGTCCTTGCATTGCACCCTTCCTCTATGCTGTGGAGGTTTCAAATTGGTTTGCAACAATCCTATTTATTGTCTCCCCGTGTTCGTTGCGTACATCTACTTGCTTCAATTCATTCTTTGGTTGTTTTCTTAGTGCATATGTGTATGTGCCTGCATCTTAGTATGTCAGAGGTCAGAGGACAACTTCCGGGACTTGGTTCTCTTTCTTTACCATGTGGGTCCACTGTATTGAACTAAGGTTGTAGTCAGGCAAAGCAGCAAGTGCCTTGACCCAGTGAGCCATCTTGTTGGCCCTATCTTCTTGATTTTTTAAAAATAAATCCCATCTGTTGATGTAAAATAAGTATAAAATCAACATTTTTCTATGTTGATTTTGTGCCCTGCAACTTTATTGAACCAACCTATAAATTCTGGCAGGTTATTTTTATGTTATTTTTTTTTACCAAAAAAATAGGGTTTTCTGTATATAAATCTTGTTGACTACAGACAGATCATCTTACTTTTTTATTTTCTAATGCCTTTTACTTTTCTTGATTTAATTTTTCTGGGTAGGAATTCCAGAATTATGTTGACAAGAAGTGGTAAAAGAATGCATTTTTGTTTTGCCAAGCATGGTGGCACATACCTATAATACCAGCATATGGGAGGCAGAGGCAGGAGGATCTCTGTGAATTTTGAGGCCAGCTTGATTTACATTGGGAGCTCCAAGACAGCCAGGAGTACATAGAAAGACCTTGTCTAAAAAAAAAAAAAAAAAAAAAAAAAAGTGTTTATGTCTTGATTCTTAGAGGAAGAAAGAAAAGGAAAACTTTCAGTATTTTGTGTTATCATTATTATGTTACTGTGACTTTGCCAAAAACTGGTCTTTGTTATGCTGAGATAATCTTCTTCCACACTTGAATCACTGGGCTTTTATTCTGAAAGGACGCTAAACCGTGCTAAATCCTTTCTCTAACTACAGAGCTTTAGGTTGACCCTATTCTAGTGAAGTGGTTGCCACCGTGCTTGACTTATGGCTGTTAAACCACTCTTCCCTCCCCCTTGACTAGGTACCTGATCCTCTAATGAGTTGACTTACTGGTATTTTGTAGATGATTTTTGCACATGTGTTCATTAAGAATTGTGACCTGTATTTTCTTGTAGTATCCCGGCCTAGCTTTGGTGTTAGTGTAATGCTGCCTTTGAGAAATGGGTTTAAAAAACATTCCCTTTTCTACATTATCTTTGAATGTGATGTGTTAACATTGTTTCTTCTTAGAATAGTTGGTTGAATTTACAACTGAGGGTTTGATGCTTTTCTCTTGGGAAGTTTTGAGTCGTAGATTCAATCTCCTTAGTAACTATTTATTTGGTTAGATTTTTCTAGTTCTTTTGCAAGACTCAGCTTTAGCATGTTTAATTTGTGTGTGTGTGTGTATGAGAGCTTGCACAGCATGGGTGGATGTAAGTCTCAGGTACAAGGAGGCTAGGGAAGGTAACGGATCCCTACAGCTGGAGGTGCAGACCGTTGTAAGCGGCGCCCCATGTTGCTTGGGTCCTGTGGTGAGCAGCAAGTGCTCTTGACCACTGAGCCATCTTCCAGCTCCAACATTTTAACTTCTAAGTAAAACTACAGATGCCCTTCTACTTATGATGGCACCCTTTCATCATAAAGTGAAAATATCTCAAGTTAAAAAATAAATCTAGGGGCTGAAAGATAGCTCAGCAGTTAAGAGCACTTGTTGCTCTTACAGAGGACCTGGGTTCAATTTCCAGCACCTACATGGTAATCACAACCATCCCCCTCTAACTCCATGACAGGGTTCTAATGACTTCCTCTGGACTCCATGGGTACTAGATGTACTCATGGTACATGTCCATGCAGGCAAAACACTCATACATGTTAAATAAATAAAAAGTTAAAATGTCACCTACCAAACACAGCTTAACAATACTGAGCACTGTGCTATTTCTCTTTATAGCTGGTCTTATAGATTAGTTGGTAGCATAGTTGTCTAGCCTGGACAGAGCCCAGGGTCTGACCGCTAGCACTACACAAAGCTCCATGTGGTAAGGCATACCCATAATCGCAACAATAGGGAGGTAGAGGCAGAAGGTTCAAAAGTTCATGGTCATTCTTAGCTACATAGTGAGTTTGAGTCCAGCTTGGGCTACATGAGAACCTGTCCTAAAGGAAAAAAATAAGTAAATTAATTTTAGAAAGAAGATAGCTGTTGTATAGCCCTGTGATCATGTGGCTTGTTGGGAATGATGGCTTCCTGCCCAGATTCCCTAGACAGCATCATAGTACATATTGCTAACCTGGGAAAAAAAATAAAAATTCAAAAATACAATTTCCAATGAATGCAAATTGCTCTGCCTCAAGCCTAGAGTCAGAAATAAAATTTAAGTCAGGCTATCATAAGAAAGCATTGGTATCAATAGGCAGAACTCATATAACCAAAAGTGGATTCAGCTGTTCTTTAGTTAATATTTGCCCACCACCACTGATATGAGCAAGTGCCAGGTTGTATGCATGGCTCCTTAAGAATAAAATTACAGTGGTTCCCATGTGAATGCCATTTATTTAGTTAAGTATATCTTTAGAGTTTTAATCTCTAGCTTGGAAGACTCATCCAGTAGGTAAGCTGACAAATACACGTGTAAAAATTATGCTAAATGCTTAGGAGGAAGAGGAGGGGGAGACTCAAATGGTAGAAGACTGCTTTTATGGTGGACAGAGTGATTAGAAAAAGTTTCTCTGAGGAGAAGCCAAGACTAAATTTTAAGAAGAGCCAGGTATGGAAACACTCCAGATGGATACAATAGTATTGTACAAAACCATAAATGCCAGGAAAATAAAAAAAAAAGAAAGACGGAAAGAAAGGAAAGCAGGCAGGAAAACACACAACCAGAATATCTGAAGGACAATGTGGGGCATTAAAGGGAATTGATGCGATTATATGGATTTGGAAAAGTGAATAACTCATCAGGAGTCAGGGCCAATAAAAAACTTTAATTCCAAATATAAAGAGCTGGGGAGATGGCTCAGTGGTTGAATACTTGCTGCTTAAGTTTGAAAGCCAGAGTCTGGATGCCCACAACTAACAGAAATGCTGAGTGAGCATGGCAGCAGAGTTGTAAGTTCAGCCTAGGAAAGCATAGACAGGGATCCTCAAAGCAAGCTAGCTAGCAAGACTAGCCATCTCAGAGAACCCACGGTTTGCTGGAGAGGCCCAGGCTTAATGAATAACATGGAAGAGTGATGGAGGATGACTGTAGATATCAGTCTTGGCCCTCCACATGTTTGTGCACCTGCACGCACACACAAACACACATGTGCAATGCAACTGCCACATATCACAAATGCAAATATGCACACTCACTCACACACACGAAACTGGAAAAAATGTAAGAAAAAAAGAAGAGAGCAAAAGCTATGAAAAATGTAATCTTAAAATCCTAAATACAGTAAGGAGTTTCTGAATACTTTTAAATAAGGCCTGACACCATCCATTGATAGATGATTCTGGCTGTTGTGTAAATAGTTAGGAGACCAAAAATAGGAAGGAGAGGGAACAGGGAGGGCCTGTCATGAGGCAGTTGCCTAGATAGAGAACAACAGAACTCCAAGCACAGAAATAGCAGAGACAAGGAGAAGCGAACAACTCCAAGACTTTCTTTGAAGACTATATAAATAAATCTTGCTAATGATTTGTATATGTGTGGCAAAGAAAAAAAGCATCAGACATTAGCCCTGTGATTGTGTTTGGGGAGACTGGGTTGACAGAAGTTTTATTTGGTGGATATCTGAGATGCAAGACACAAGCAAGGCATGAGAGTAAGAGGT